GTGGTGGTGGTTGCGGTGTCGGTTGCTGGCAACCGAACCAGCTAATTCATCCGTTTCGCGCCCGGACCCCCCCAGTCTGGGGGCGCAACTAAGGTTTCACTAACGCTGCGCGCCAGGCCCAGCAGCCAGGGCAATGGCACCCTGCCGCTTTCATGTTTGAGGGTATGGAGGACAAGGCGGAAGAGGAGGTGGAGGAGGAGGGTTGTGGAATATTGAGGAGAAGAGGCGAATGACGACGCGGGAAGGTTAGGAGCAGGAAGAGATCGAGGAGGGGAGGAAGAGATGGTGATGGTGGAGCAGCAGCAGAGAGAGGAACAGATCACCAGCGAGCCTTCGGGGAGTCGGGGGTCCAATCAAGATCTCGTGCGTCACTGGTGAACCCTCACAGTAGGGCGCACGCGCCTCGCTTGTTGCGAATCGCGAGGCTGCTTCCAAGCCCACATCAGAGCGTACTTCAATGTGAACCAGACCGGGGCGTCGCACGTTGGCCGCATGCCCATGTGTAAGGACAGCAGTTATTGGTCTTGTGCATGCCTTTGTGCCGCGTGCCTTCGTGCCCGTTGGCCTCATCTTCCTGCCTGCTAATACCCCTCCTCCCCCTTCTTCATCCTCTTCCTCGTTCCTGTCCTCTCCGCCGAAGTTGCCAATCGTCCTCCTGATCATCTTTTGAAGAGTGCTGCTGGGGGTAGCAGATGGGCGCGCAAGCATGCACGCAATAGTTCGCAACAGAAACTTCAACACAGGATTCTTCGATGCTTACACGAGCCGCACACTTCAAGTGCAACGCATGTGGATAATGGCCCGTTGCATCATTCAGTGCATGACGCATGCGCGCGCATGACCTCTTCTCCTGCTATGCCAGCTCATTGCTGGGTGTCCGCCATGAGATCTGCAATGTCTGTACCCGAGCCTGTCAAATGTTTTCGGTAGTGCTCCAGGACGTCTCATGCGCGCCCCGATCGGAATCACTCTGACAACGCGCCCCTAGGCTGTCATGCGGCGGGGCAGCCGACGTTCGGCAGGGGTCATTCCGATTCCGCCGGCTCGATTCAATTCGATGTCCCCGGCTGCCGACCCGAATTGATACGATGCGGAGATTCCGACTCGAGATTCCGATTTCGAGTTCGCCCGATTCGATTCTTGCCGAATCGATGTGTCAGCCGTTATTTGCCGAACGTTGCCGATCCAGTTTCGCTCCAGAGATATATTTTACGCCGTACTGTGTTCCACGCGGTTGCACGTCCAGGTTTCCTTGGCGGTACGCCCTTGGAGCGTCCCGACGGTGCGCAGACGCCTCGCCGTCGCCGCCCTTGCCGTGACTTGCGGGTGCCTCGCCGTCGCCGTCCTTGCCGTCCTCGCCGCCGCCGCCGCCGTGGCCGTCGCGGGGCAGGGTGGCCCCAGGGGCCGAGTGCGAATGGGCGGCCGCAGCAACAGCAGCAGCAGCAGGGAGCACTCGGAGCAAGCCGCAGGAGCAGCGACGGCGATCGTTATTCAGGCGCGCTGTTGCGCGGATTCCCCCCCCAAGGGGCCCTTCTGGGGGGAGGAGGACGATAAGGATGAGGATGAGGATGACGGTGGTGGTGGTGACGATGAAGGGGGCCCCCAAGGGGCTCCGAAGGGACTCAAGCGGCCCCCAAGCCCACAAAGGGCCCCCAAAAGGGCCCCCGAGGGGACCACAAGGCTCCCCCAAGGGGCCCCAAAGAGGCCCCCAAGGGGCCCCGAAGGGGTCCCGAAGAAGAGGAGGACGAGGAGGAGGAGGAGCAGGAGGAGGAGGAGGAGGAGGAGGAGGAGGAGGAGGAGGAGGAGGAGGAGGAGGGATGGGACAGCATCAAAGGAGCCCTGGCTGCCATCTGCTCGCAGACGACCTCCAGGGCCCCAGATGTCAGACTGGCGGGTCACGCTCCCCGCCGCCTCCGCGCCCGGCTCATCCGACGCAGTCGAGGCATACGGTGTAGCGGCACCGCGCGCACCACCTCGTAGCCGTCCGATTGGCGAATGTTTTCGAGCACCACTCGCAGACGAAGGCGAACGGCGGGCGGCGGCGGAGAATGAGTTCGTGCCGAGCGGGGCACAGGTACGCGCCGAGCGGGCAGTACTCGCTCACCACCTCCGGCTCCACCACGCCGCTCTCGAAGGCCAGGTCCGAGGCGATGACATGGTCCTCCTGGACAGTGACCCCCTGATCCGACGAGCAAGCCCGCCCGCCACTGCCGCTGCCAAACCCCGAGGCCACGATGTCCTCCGCACGCGCGATGCCGTCTCGGAGCTTGTCCGCCACCACGCCCCCTCCACGGCCATCGCGCAGTCCTCCTCGCGCACGACGACGCTCTGGGCCTCGCCGCTGCACGCGGGCGCATTGTCCACGATGGATGCGCAGTCCTGGCCGCACTCGCCAGAACTGGCACCGTCGGCGGGCACACCACTGAGAAGGCCACCTTCGACAGCGCCGGCCTCCGCGGCAGGCTCCAGGACACTCCTCCTGCTGCAGCTCCCGCTCTTGCTCCTGCACTGCGGGCCGCCCTTCTCGCGCTCGACGACCCACTGGGCCACACCGCCGCGAGCAGACGGCCGTAACTCCTCCAGGGAGGCATCGACGTCGCACGCCCCAACCCAGCCGCAAGGCCGCGACGGCGCCTCCTTGAGCTCCTTCACTGGTGAGGCCGCACCGACAGGCCGCGGGGCCGAGGGTGCGGGGGTGCAAGGGGCGGCTGCCGAGGCAACGCCGTCGAGCCGCAGGCCCGCAGCTGCCCGAGCGATGGCCGCATCGTCGGCGTGGGCGGACTCGCCTGGCGGAACCTCGGCGGCATGCCAGGCCGCGTTGCGGCGCCGCCGCAGCCTCCCTGGGACGCGTCGCCCCGCTGCCCGAATCTGCAGCACGGGGCGCGCCGCGGCTTCGCGGTCGCGCAGCGTCGTCGCCGCGAAGAGCTCGAAGGGGGCTTCGCAAGCCTGTTGGCTGCGGCACCGCGCGGCGCGCCGCGCTGCTGAGGGGCCGAGGGTACGGATCTCCTCGGCACGGAGAGGACGACGCCGCCACGCCGTCGGGCCGCTCCCCGTCGCCATCACCCGAGCCGAAAGCCCCGCTCCCCGGAATCCCCCACGCCCGCCGCGTTGGCCCATCAAGCTGGGGTCGCAGGGCACGCCGAGGGACACCCGAGGAGGAGGAGGAGGAGGAGGAGGAGGAGGAGGAGGAGGAGGAGGATGGTGGAGGAGGAGGATGGTGGAGGAGGAGGAGCTTGGAGGAGGAGGATGGTGGTGGTGGTGATGGTGGTGATGGTGATGATGGTGGTGATGGTGATGGTGATGGTAATGGTGACGACGACGACGACGACGACGACGACGACGACGACGACGACGACGACGACGACGACGGGAGCCCCCGAGAGGCCCCCAAAGTCCCCCCAAGGGGCCCCCAATGTGCCGCCAAGAGGCCCCAGAGGGCAGCGGTTCGGTTCGCTCGGCTCGGGTCGTCGGGCCGATCCAGTTCGGCTGCTCGAGGGGACCCGTCACGGATGCGGGGGTCCGTCGCGGACGGGAGGGGTCGGCCCGAATCGGATTGTGGGGAGAGCCAAACCGAGAGTTGCGACGATGGACGCGTGCGACCGTGCACGACGACATGCGACGAAAACGTATGCGTCGACATGCGGTGACGCATGCGACAACGTGTCACGGCGACAGGCGACGACGTCAACGACGACGTGCGACGACGAAAGTCAGGATGAGGAGAACAGGAGGGAGGGCCTATCACGTCCTCCACTGTCTGTTTCGCCATACCGATTTTGATCCAGGTTGACGCGATCTGGTCTCCGATTCGGTCCGATTTGGCCCTGCCGACTTCTGCGAATTTGGCAGCGGATTTCTGCCGATTTCTGTCGATTCGATGTTCGGGTCGATCCGATTCGACTTATCGATTCGATGCTGGGGCCGCATGCGTTCGGCTGAGGCTGAGGCTTGGGCTGACGCTGGCGCCGAGGCGGGCGCTCGAGTTGACCTTGATGTTGGGGCTAGGGCCCGCTTTGGGGCTGAGGCTGAGGCCCTGGCTGAGGCTATGGTTGGCGCTGGCGCCAGGGCCGGGAATGGGGCGGGGTTGCGGCGGCTGGCGCTGCGGGGAGCTGGGACAGAGGTCCGAGGTCGTGCTGGTAAGCGAGGCCGCGAGGCCGAGGGTGGGGCTCCAGATGGAGCTCTCGTTCTCGAGGTTGCCCCTACTCGAAGATTCGAGGGCTGGGAAACAGACAGACTGCGATGCAATAGTTCGCGTGGTGCGATGTTATAATTCGCGCGGTGACGCAACAGGTCCCCGCGGTGACGCACATGTGTGTCTTATCGAACGACAGTTGTGCAGTAATTGGCGTGGCGTCGCAATCGTTTCTGCAAGAACTCACAATCGTTTGCAGTTGATTGCGTAGTTGGGTGACTTTATGCGCAATCTGTATAATGAATGCATGTATGTCTAGTCGTAGACGTGAATGCCTCTTTGCCCCCCGTTCTCGCCCGGCAGCTGACATGCATAGCCACACGTAGTGCGACGTGGTGGCTCACGTCCAAGAGGCCCCCAGCCGCGCCCCGCCGTGCATGGACGGCGAGCCGCCCTCGCTGTGGGCGACGCTGGTCACAGCGTGGGGGGCCACGCCGAGCGCTTGCTGGTCCTGGGGCTGGACGGCAGTCCCCGTTGCGCCGGCCTGGTCGGCGCCCGCTCCGCCAGGCGTCTGCGCGGAGGGGGTCAGCCACTGCTCCTGTGACGCGGAGCAGCAGCGGATCATCGACCTCCAGGCGGAGGGCTGGTCGCTTCGGTGTTTGCTGTTGACCGGGCCCCTGCTACTCCACATCGTGACCCCCAGCGCCGGCGCGCTGGGCTTCATCGCCGGGGCCTGCCGGCGGTGCCGCTGCGCGTCCAGAGGCGCCGAACGGCGGCGAGGCGGCAGCCGTGGGCGCTGCCCATCGCGGGCCGATCGCACTGGCGGCGGCCGCAGGCGGCCAGAGTCCGCTGAGGCCGAGTCGGCGCCATGGCTGACGTGCAGACGCTGGACATCGGGGACCCGCAGATCCTCGTCAGGTACGAGTACGACCCACTCTACAGGCACCACCGCGTGCTGTTGTTCAGGGTGGGCGACGACATCTGGATTTGCCCCACCCGTGACCACGACTTGGTCCGTGAGAAGTTGCTGTGCGTCCGCCACGAGGTGTTGGAGAGGTGTCTCCCTTCCCAGCACACCTCGCTCGGGAGGTCTACGCCCACGACCCGATCTCCGGCGCCATGTTGGCTGGGTCCCGCCGCCGTGCGAAGCTGCAGGGCCAGGTTCTGGGTGTCGTGCAGGTCGACACCATCGAGAGGATGGTCTTGGTGGTGGCGGAGCCGCGTTCGGACAAGTTCGGCGAGATCGTGGACGCGGCGGTCATGGACGATGAGAACCGCGGCCGGGCCTTTGATCAGAAGGAGGTTGCCGCAATCATCGGCGAGGAGGTCTTCGCGCAGAAGATTGCAGCTAGCCAGGTTATTGACTTCAAGAAGGACGTGAAGGCGCAGCTGGGCGACATCCGCACCCTCGGCGGCCACCTGGACGAGGCCGGGCAGCGGGGCCCCAGGCTCTCGGGGGCCGTGGCGGTGATGCGAGCATGCCGACCAGGCGAACTTCCCGCTGTCAGGCGTCAGGGGCGTGAAGGAGTTCTTGGAGTCCGTGGCGTCGAGCCCTGGCAGCGTGGCTTCGCACCAGGCCGAGTGGCAGCGACTCAGCGGCGTCGGCAAGGGCTCGGCCGTCATTCACGTGCATCGGATCTTGTGCGAGGCCATACGCTTGATGCACTCGTGGGATCAGGTCGACCTTTTTGCGCCCGCCTCCGCCGAGTTGATCGTGCGCTTGTGGATTCAGACCGGAGATCGCGGTGAAGCGCAACCCGCGCCATTCCGATTGCAGTGGCTTAGTTAGACATCGTGATATCGTCTCCGCCGAACGCAGTCGGGCGCGCTACTGCGCCAAAGATCAACACCTGCGTCGCTGTCAGGCTCAAGGAGAGAGCGTCGATCTGGAAGCATGGGCGTCTCTACTGAGAGGAGCAGAAGCAGAACCGCAAGGGCGACGGCAAAGGCAGCGACGGCCTCGACCCCGCGAACCCGAAGAGGCGCCCGAGGAAGCCGAAGGGGGGCAACGCTGGCGCCGCAGGCGGAGCCGGCGAGGAGGGACAACTCCTCTCCGGCCCGCGGGGGCGCCAGCGCCGGCAGTCCGAGCGCCGAGAGAGCTCCCCCGCGGCCGACTATAACGCGGGCTAGCCCCATCCTGTCCAGGAGGGATCCGGTCGCGAGATGGACGACGCGGGGGCCCAGTCCCTTTGCCAGGCGATCCGAGCGGCCCCGGCTCTGCATATGATCATGCGCGGCTTCAGCAAGTTTGTGATTTCGGTTCGAGCCCTGAACCATTTTGCCGCCGCCAACCTGACTGCGCCTCGCGCTCAGGGGCGCGGCCGCGCACCTGACGGGCACCTCCAGCCTGCCGCCGAGCAGCACTGGGTGGTCCAGAACGTTACCTGGCGGGTGCAGGCATGCGGTGCTTGTCCGCCTGACCTCGCAGAGGAGTCACCCATGTCGGAGATCCTCGAATCAAGAGACCACAGTTCGACGAGGTCAAGATCCTGCGCGGGAAGGGCCCGCGCGGGGCCGATGCGTCGAGAGCGGCCCCCCGCGTCCCTCGGCCACCTCTGGCACGCGGCCGACTTGATCGAGATGGACAAGGCGAAGCTTGAGGAGGACCAAGCCGCCGGCTTCGGGTTCTCGCCTTACTGGGATTCGCGCCTGCGGCGCTCGCGAGATCTTCGGTAGCGCGCGTCTGTTCCAGCGCCTGGGTGAGCGGGGCCTTCTGACCTGGCGCCGCCGGCTGAAGGGGCGCGCGGGCTCTTTCGTTGCCAAAAAAGAAGGGCCCCAGAGACTGATCACACACGCCCGATGGCGAATAAGGCTTCCTCCTACCATAAGACGGGCCATCGCAATGTATGGCCGACCTGGGCCTCCCCTACCCGCGCCTGAAGGCTTCGGGTTTCGGGGGCCTGGGCTCAGGTCTGGCAGGGCCTGCTGGGCTGGAGGGCGACGTCGGGGACGGCTTCTACAAATTCACAATCCCGGAGCTCGCCAGCCGGTTCGGCTTCGAGGGCCGCTTCGACACTGCGGAGTTGGAGGAGATGGGCTGCAGGCCGAACGCGATCTGGGACGACGCCGAGGGGGCGGATGCCATAGTCGAGGACGGCGAGGTGCTCTACCCTTGCATGGCCGCCGTTTGCATAGGCCGACCATGGGCGCTCTACTTCGCGAGCGGGGCCGTCACCTACCGCGTGCAGAGGACGTTGCCCGATGGGGCGGACCAGATCATGAGGGAGATGCAGCCCCCCTCAGTTTCGGAGCCGGCAAGTGTATTGCTGGCGCGTGCGTTGACACCGTGCAGGTGATCTGGGGCTGCGAAGCCGATGCGGTGAAGCAGGTGATTGAGATCGAGACAAGTTTGTGTGAAGATCTTATACCCTGCGACTTTCGGGGGAGCGTAAGACCCGGGTTTGCCAGGACTCGGGTTCGCCATTGTTTTTTGACGACCGCGCCTCGGATTTTGACGAGGAGGAGTTTCGTGGGATGTCTGCAGCGGGAGGCCTCGTCAAAATGCAGGCTCGGCCTCGTCATTTTTTTGACGACCTCGTCGGGGATTTCCGAGTCCCCCGTACACGGGTCTTACGTCTCCCCGAGACTTCGAGCCGGGCGGCAAGTTTGAGATGCAGTCGCTCGGTTTGGTTTACCATTGGCATGAACGACGATTTTAGCATGTGGCTCGGCGGGCATGGTGCACTCACATGGCTGGCCGCGCCCTGCTACGACGTTGGAAGCTACGCGGGCACGCTCGTCAGTGCGGGCTCGGGCACGCCGCGAACCTCAACCAGCTTTGCCCCGATGCCATGTCCGCCTTGAGCGCCTGCTACCGTTTCATTGACGAGGCCCTGGAGGTGCCGAAGTGGGCGCGACCGTCGGTAAAGTCTGAGACCCGTTGCGCCATGAACCTGCTCTTCCTGATGGAGTGGACCTGGGCGCGACCTACTCCGACCAGGTCTACTGCGGCGCCTCGTCCAGCAAAGACTACGCCCTCCACGTGACGAAGGCCGGGCCCGACGAGATCCGCGAGGCCTGGAGGTGGCGGGAGCGTTGGCGGTACCGCAACGTCACCGCGCAATGGGTCAACCGACACCTTGCCGCACATCATATCTTAGTTCCAGACCTTGCCACGGTCTGGCGGAGCCGCCCTGGAGGATGAGAGGGGCACTACACTTGATATATACGATTTTGCTCCTATACGTTGCCGCGATGTGGCAGGACCTCCTTGGAGGGGCGGGAGAAGCACGAAACGTGACCCGATGCCCTGCCGCGGTCTGACGGGGCTTCCCTGGAGGAGGGGCGGTAAGGGCACGAGACCAGGCATATACGATGGTATTATGATACCATGCCGCGGCCTGGCGGGGCCTCCCCCACAGTGGGGGGGGGGCACGAAATGTGATGCACAATATGGTATCATCATGTGCTTTGCCACTATCTTGCGGCCCCCCCTGGAGGGTGGGAGGGGCACCAAACTTGACATATCATTTTGTATTCCGATGCCCTGTCGCGATGCGGGGTGTCTCTCTGGAGGAGTGTGAGAGGCACGGAATTTGATCATGGTATCCCGATGCCCTGCCGCGGTCTGGCGGGGTTTCCCTGGAGGAGGGGTGGGAGAAGCGCGAAATCTGATGCATAAGATGGTGTTCCGACATGCTGACTCGGTCTGGTGGTGCCTCCCGGGAGGGTGGGAGGGGCACGAGACTTGGTAGATAATATGTCATTCCGATGACGTTGTCTCGCGCGATGTGGCGGGGCCACTGGAGTTGTGGGAGAGGCGCGATACCCGATATGTAATCTGGTATCCTGATGCCCAGCCGTGGTCTGGCGGGGCCTCCCTGGAGGGTGGGAGGGGCACGAAACTTGATAGATAACTTGGTGTTCCGGTACCCTACCGCGATGTGGCGGGGCCTTCTCTGGAGGGGTGGGAGAGGCACGTAATCTGGTGTTCAAGTACCCTGCGACAGTCTGGTGGGGCCTCTCTGGAGGGTGGGAGGGACACGACATTTAAGAACCAGTATGGTATTCTGGTGCCCTGTCGCGATGTGGCGGGGCCTCCCTGGAGCGGGGAGGGCACGATACGGGAAGGAGGAGGACGGAGGAAAAGGACTGCTGAAGTGGTAAGGGCATGACAGAGGAGGAGGAGGAGGAGGAAATAGGAGATAGGGGAAAAGATAATGATAATATCTGGTGGAGCTTATACGAGAAGATGATGTGGAGCTGGCATGAGGGAGAGGAGAAGGGGAAAAAGGAAAAGGTGCTCTGGGAATACAAGAACCCCCACTCAGGATTTGGGAAAACACATGCGCCCTAAGGACTGGTGAGATTTGGGGTAATGCTGAGGTTCCGTCCTGCTTGGTTTTGTTGGGCGAGGTACGGGACCATCGTACCAATGCTGTCACGCATAATAGCACCATCTTGGCGGTGAGCACGCAGCTTTCCACGTGGTTGCAATTGACCTAGGACAGGCGATATATATATATAATATATATATATATAGAGAGAGAGAGATGTGTGTATACGTGTATGTGTGTGTTTGTGTGTGCTTGCATATGTGTGTTATTGTTGGTGTTGATGCTGGTGTTGCTGTTGGTGTTGTTGGTGTTGTTGGTGTTGTTGTTGCTCTTGTTATTGTTGTTGCTGAACATCCATATTTAAACATGTATATGGTTGATCCCCGTGCCCAGTAACCGTTGTATGTTTTCAAAGGAAGTGCCTTTCCCTGGCTCGCACCCGGTTTTTTACAAGGCAAAGCGAGGAGCCACCAAATTGCGCCCTTGGCCCCCAGTTTACTACAACAACGGTTCCCGCCTAATACTTCCTCACAAATAAATCCCTCTCGCGCAGGGCGTCTTCACAATGTATGCAGGAATCGCGCTCTCGCGTGGGACTTCCTCGCAACTTATTCAGACGCCGCGCCCTCGACACTCAGGCATCACGCTTTCGCTGCGGATTTCCTTGCGATTTATTGGGGGTCGCGCTATCGCTCGAGATTTCCTCGCGATTCATGCAGGACGCACGCTTCAGCAACCCGCCTGCTCGACCTGGCCGTCTGGGCCCGCCTTCCCGACCCGCCCGGTCTGATCTACCCGCCTGATCTGCCCGTCTGGTTTTGCCACGTGTTTCGTGCTCCTAGCCCCCCTTCTGCTACTCTCTCTCTCTCTCTCTCTCTCGTGATCCATCCTCCTCCCTCCCCCTTGTCCATTCCTTCCATCCGTCCTCTCCTCCCCTGACTGAGTACACATTGCAGGTAAGATAGATCCCTAAGGTGGTACGATCTAAGACGAAGAGGGCGGGTATCGATGGTTTGGGGTACACATGATGAAGGGCACGCGACCAGGTAGGAGCGAACAGTCTTAACATGAGTGTTGTTATTGGTGGTGGTGTTGTTGGTGTTGGTGTTGGTGTTGGTTTTCTTGTTGTTGCTGCTGTTGTTTGTGCACAGTGAGGTAGAATACCAGGCATCCCGTACCCCTTTAGCACTACGGACTTGCATGTCATAATGATTCGCAGGGGATGGAGGACAGGCGAAGAGCATGGCGATACAGAGGATTAGGAGAATGAGGGATGATGAGCGGGAGCTACAAAACGAGTAGCAGGAAGAGGATGGGGAGGAGGAAGCGAGGGATGTTGAGGAGGAGCAGGAGTGGAATGAGGAGAAATGAGACAGACAAGGGAGCAGGAGCGGGAGGAGAAGGCAGAGTCTGATGGGGCAGAAGATTGAGATGAGGAGAGAAGATGGGGAAGGGGGGAGACAATGACGAGGAAGACAGCAGTAACGATCCTTATAGCCAGGTTCTCTCACAACATTGGCTCGAGCTTTTCCATTCGCGCCACTTGGGTCGACCTTTCGTGCGCGCTCGCGGCGTGGGGGGTGCAAACATCTCATCGTCAGGCGATCTTCGTGCTTGCCTTCGCTCGTGTCTTCCTCCACGGCCGCGTCATCCCCTTCCTCCTCCTCCAACTCCTCCTCCTCGTCTCGTCCTTCCTCCTTCTTCCTCCTCTACCTCCCTCTCTTTACGCCTCCTCTTCATCTTCTCCAAATTATCAGTATTTGTTTCCTGCTTGTGCTCCTCGTGACTCTTCCTCATCCTCACTGTCGTTATCCTTTCCCTCATCCTCCCAATCCACCTCTTCTTTTTTCTTCTCCTTCTACTCCACCTCCTCTTCGTCCTCGTCGTCGTCCTCCTCATCCTCCTCCTCATCATCCTTCTCCGTGTCCTCCTCATCCTTTCTCCTTCTCCTCCTTGTCGCCCTCTTGGAAGGGTGCCCCTCAGCTTCCGCACCTCACCTCCCCCGTCTGGGGAGGTTGAAGGGGGCCACACACGATACGTCCTCGGCCCCAGGCCCACAGGGATGCCGAGAACTCGGCCGCGGGTGGTGCAGCCTGCCGTGAACCAGTGGGTCGTGGTGGCCGCCGAGCAGGGTGAGAGGCGAAGGGGCGGTCATCACCATGCAGAAGCAACTATACAGCATACATGCATATCTATATCTTCCTTTCCCCTATCAAATGGCAAGGGATCCCCCCGATGGCCATCACCTGATTCGGCACCCTCCGATGAGCTCCGGGACAGCTCCGAGACTGCCCGAAAATACGCTGTGATGGCTCCAAGGCGGCTCAAGAGCGATACAAAAGATCCCGGGACCGCCGAAACGCGTTCCAATATGGCTTGTGATGGCCTCGAAACGGTCCAAGCGGGCCCCAAAACAGCCCCAGAGGCACTCTAGATGATTTTCAAGAAGGTTCCAAGAGCCCCAGAACAATAATTGTCTTATGAATTTTCTCGTGAGTTTTCACGGTTTTACCTTTTCAGGCTTCACACGGCCGAAGACGACCCAAGAGGCCCCCCAGAAGGCATCAAGACGGCACTAGAGGGCGCCAAGACACTCCCACAGGGCCCCAAAAGGCTCCCAACAAGCCCGGCCTCCGAAGAAACCTCCAAAGCCCTCGAAACGGTCCAAGCCCTCGAAAACAACATAAAAGGGCCCCAGGGCGGCCCAAATAGCCCCAAAACGGCTCAAAAGTGCCCTCAAGAAGGCCCGGAGAGGCCAAATTCACACACACACACACACACACACGCACGCACACACGCACACGCACACACACACACACACACACACACGCACACACAGAGATACATACATACATACACATATACATACATACCTATAAACATACAAACATGAATACATACGTACATACAAACATACATGCATACATACATACATTCATACATGCTTCCAAACCAATGTACCTACATACACACATACACACATGCACATCCATAAACATATGTATACAAACAGACACAGTTATACAGCCTGTAAATACATGTATACACTTACATGTACATTTCCACATTAACATGAACAGCTGTATACATTCGCATACTGCTACATATCTATATGTATACAAGTGTACACATGCATTTGCATATACATATACGTACACTGGTACATAAACAACTACGTAGACATACATGCGCGTATACACAATGCACACATACATACACCTTCACATACACCTACACATGCACATACATATGCGTATGCAAATGTGTGTATATATACATACGCACATGCATATGCATAGGCATCTACGTAGAGATGCACGTGTACATGCATAACCTGTATATGTATACGCTCATACGCAGGATTGTGCACACACGTATGCATGTACATACACACATGCAGCTATACATACACATATATATATATAAATATATCCGCATACACATTCACATACACATATAGATGTGCATATAGACACATAAACGCTCATACATACATAGATTTACACATGTACATACACATATACATACGCATATACATGTGCATGTACATATACCTAAACATGGACATATACACACATGTATAGGTGTATGCATACATATATGTCGGAGGTTTGAGGGTGAGTCCGACGTGAAACGGAGACTCCCCCCTACCGGGAAATCGATTTCGGTTTCGGGTTCGTGTCGTGCGTGCCGTGCATGCGTGCGGGCGAGGCGAAGCTGCGTGGGCGGGCGAGAGGAAATCCTCCTGAGGCTGGGCCGCGGCCGCACCAAATGTTTCTCCTCCGGCGGCCGGTGGCCCGCGGTGTCCCGCCGGTGTCCCGCTGGTGTCCCAAAATCCTCCTGTGGCTGGGCCGCGGCCAGACCCAATGTTTCTCCTCCAGCGGCCGGTGGCCCGCGGTGTCCCGCCGGTGTCCCGCTGGTGTCCCGCCGGTGTACCGCTGGTGTCCCGTGGTGTCCCGTGGTGTCCCGTTGAGTAAGATCGATAGTGATATCGATAGTGAGATCGATGTGGTATCCCGAGGTGTCCCGTGGTGTCCCGTGGTGTCCTATGGTGTCCCGTTGAGTCAGATCGATAGTGAGACCGATCGTGAGACCGATAGTGAGATCGAGAGATGTCCCGCGGTGTCCCGTGGTGTCCCGTGGTGGCCCGTGGTGTCCCTTGGTGTCCCGTTGAGTGAGATCGATAGTGAGATCGATAGTGAGACCGACAAGTGTCCCGTGGTGTCCCGTGGTGTCCCGTTGAGTGAGATCGATAGTGAGATCGATTGAGTCAGATGTTGGTTCCCCTCCTTTCTTCCCCCCCCACAATCTCCTTCTCACCCAAAGGGTGGTCGTATAGGTGTACAGATGTGTGCATCTGCAAAACCGTATTTCCGCGGCTGGCCGGCCAGCCCTGAGCTGGAAAACGAAATCGTCGACGTGAACCAAATGAGTTAGTGGGTTATCTTGATATGCGCCCCTAGACACTCTCATTCTCTTCAACAACCCACACCCACGACGGCCCAGCGGCGCCAGTTCCCCTGAGGGCGCCAGACGTCCCCCATCCCAGGCCCCAGAGCAACAAAAAGCAGTCGTCGACGTGAACCAGAAATTAGTTCGGCCCTTTGGGTGGCTCTTCGCTTCGGGCATGCTCACTCATTACGGAAAAACGCGCCAGTGTGGGCACCGCGGCGCAAGCCGCCCGGGGCGTGCCCAACGTCCCCCATCCCAGCCCCCGAATCAAAAAAAGCAGCCGCCGACGTCAACCAAAAATTCGTGCGGCCCATTGGATGGCCCCGCGCTCCTGGACGTGTTCACTCTTCGCGAAAAGCCACGCTCACGTCGGCCCCGCGGCGCAGGCCGACCAGAGGGCGCCCAACGTACCCCACCCGGGCCCCTGGAGCAGAAAAGGCGGCCGCTGGGTTCGGCCCCTTGGGTGGGTCTTCGCTTCTGGACACGCTCACCCCTTAAGACAGTCGACGCTCACCTGGGCCCCGCGCCGCTAGTCGCTCGGTCGCCCTACCAGCACGACTACAAACACGACCTCCATCACGACCGCCAGCACGACCACCAGCCCGACCTCCAGCACGACCGCCAAAACGAAAGCCATGACCACAGGCACGACCACCAGCACGACCACCAGCACGACCACCAGCACGACCAACAGTGCGACCAAGAGCACCACATCCAGCACGACCACCAGCACGACCTCCAGCACGACCACCAAAACGAAAACCAGCAAGACCACCGGCACGATCACCAGCACGACCACCAGCCCGACCACCAGCACCACCAGCGCCACCACACGCAGAGCGGGCAGTGCGAGAAGCACCAGGGCAGACGGCCATCGCTCTGCCTTGCTTGCTAGAGTCGCGGACTGTGAGCGCACGCCTGCTGGCCAGCGCAAGGTCGCGGGCGAGAGAAAGCGATGTAGCGAGCGGTGGAAAAAAACAAAAAAACAGCGCCACCACACGCACCATCATCACCAGCACGACCACCAGCACGACCGCACCAGATCGAGGCGCCGATGTCGAGGCCGCCGACGTTCTAGATTCTAGCGTTCCTCCAGCGCTCAGGGGCTCTGTGCGAGGTCGGGCACTCTCTGCTTCTTCT